AGCTGAAGATCTGTGAGCTGCTCTCTGTCCTGTTAGCACCTAAACAGGGCATCGCAAGGCAGTGCAGGCACTTGCAGCAACTTTTAAGAGAGTGAAAGGATTTAAATTAATAACTCACACAAACTACCTTCTTTAAGAAAGCAGGAAACATTTAGCTAGCTTGTTTATCCTCGGAACGAGGACTGAAAACCGATTTGTCCTACAGTAATGTGTTGGGGTTTTTTTCCTAAAATCAGCTAACTGTCCGTATCCTGAATTAAGGCATATTTTACACAATGCCATAGCATCCAGCTATATTAAACACGCATCGGTGTCCTAACAATACTTCTTATCGCTGCCTAATCATAACTGAGTTAATGAACCACAACAAAAATCAAAACAGGAGAATCTGTCGACTTATTTTCAATATGTATCATCCCGAAATGTGCTGTGGGTGCATGACCACGCTCGAAAGAGCTCTCTGTCAGTGCACTCTCCACAACTGAGATAATCTCTCCATAATCTCTCTCGCAATTAAAATGGGGAGAATGCTCCCACGTTAATACCAATGAATTTATATTTTTCTTCTGCATTTATGTTTAATTAAGCAGCTGCTCGTCTTGCTCTGTACTTTTTATTTCTGATGAAGTGTACCTATGCAGGCCTCAAACACATGTCCTGCACTTATCCTCTTCGTCAGACTTACTGAATTAATGCTTTCTCCTTCTTTGCCTCCCTCCCCTCGAGTGAAACCTGGCAAAATAAAGGACATTTGCTGTACAGTTGTAGCCCGTGTCCCAACAGCATAATCTTTTATATGATTTTTTGCCCCCCCTCCCCATCTTTAACTGAAGCCTCAGTCCTCTAGCCTGAACACAGAAAACTCCCACTTAAACCAAATACATGTTATGAATTCACACATAGTACAGCCTGGGCTCTCCAAAAAGAGAGCAAAATGTCCAGATTTTACTAAAGAAAGAGAGATCACAATGCTCTTGTTTTCTTTTACATCGTTTCCATCTCTACTCAGAAGTGAAAGAAACGGCACATGTGGAGCTGGGAACCTTGGGGCACAGAGAAATCTCTTTC